ATATATGCTGTATATATATTCTAAGAGATTGTGTCATTTCTGCTCCTCACAGTGTCTGGATTTAAAAGTACTGTTAGATTAAGATTTATGGWGAAATAAACTATTTTTAAAAAGTTTCTTACCTCGCTCTCTGGCTGACGGGGGGTAAAATCCGGTATCACAGGCATTGGCACAGGAGGATAGATCTTACTTTTGATTCTAAATGTCAGAAAACAGCAGAAGTTGTTCACATCAAAGCAACATGTGCAAACTGAGCTGAATCACTGCAGTGCAAATTAGCACATAAATGCAATTAATGACTCAGCAGAAAAGAAAAGGGAAACCATTTGTATCGTGTTTGTGTTTTTACAGTTTCTGCATGCCTTTATTTAGAAGACGTGTCCAAAACAGTCAAGAGAGAAAAATCTTATTTTAAGTATAAAACATAAAAAAGTTCTACTTACTTCTTCAAGACAACTGTGCAAAATATTGTGAATAAGAAGAACGCAAAAAGCAATCCAAAGCTCAGCCACACTAAGACAAAAAGTGACAAAATAAGTGAAAAAAAAAAGGAAAATTTACATGAATTTAAAATGGCATTTAGACAAAACAACAGATTCTTTAATTTCATACCATTTAAGGGTTTCTCTGGTAATGTGGTGATGGTTTGTGTGGCAAAAAGCCCTTCTCCTGCTTGGGTCACTCCAGCCAGACTGAAGCTGTATTTTGTTTCTGGCATCAGATCTTTCAGGTGGTGTCTCGTTGCCGATGGAGATATGTTGAAGCACTCTGATCAAACGAGACGAAGACAAATGAAACCAGCTCATGTCTGTGTGTTGAACTTTCTGCATTTTAACAAGAGAACACAAGAGAAAACTCACACCTTTTGTGCCTTTTTCCCCATCCTGTGGATTAACTTTCACGCTGCACAGGGTGTAGTGTGTGAGGAAGCCTCGCTGGTGCTCGGGTGAAATCCCTTTCCAGGACAGGGAAGCAGAGTTGTGCATTTCAGGAACAACAATGAAGTCCTTTGGTTCTTTGTTTGGCACTGAAGCAGAAAATGTAACATTCATTTTCATGTTTTATATGCCCTAATTAGAAATTGATGAGTCTTCAGTATCCATGATGAAAACATTCTATGTCATCACAAGAAACATACTTTAAATTACGGTAGACAAACAGGCAGTAAAATACATTTGGTACACTGTATAACTGTGCATTTTACCAGAGGTGTATAAAGTGGTTTAAAAAACTAAATAAAAGTAGAACTACCTAAATAGAGTACATGTCTCTAAAGATGTTAGCTACTCCTTACTTCTTTTGGCTGGGTTTGTGTCTGTTTTGTTCCACCGACACACTGAAAACACTGCAGCCCTGGTGGCACGCAGCTTTAAACGGGCTGTGAGGAGAATAATAATAATAATACTAAAAATGTTTGTTGCATTTTTTATACACTGGGTATAGTATACTAAATATGTTTCAACACTATTGCAGGTCTTGTTTAGATCCTGATTAGTCCTGATTTTAACAAGGACTCATCTTAAAGTAGAYATTTCATGCTTTTAAATCCTTCCTTTTCACATTTACACCATTCAATTGGGGTCTTTATAAAGTGGAACTGCAAATGCTTTGGTTTGAAATCCTCCTTCATTTAACTTTACCAGCCCATCTTTCACTACTTTCCTGTTGTGTGTCTCAAAGCAGCTGGATTTGATACTATTCCTTTCCTTTTTCATTCCTTCATGCCCCGCCCCCCTCCAGCTTCCAGACCGGTCCACTCCAGTTTGAGAGAAGGGGTTACAATTTCTAGTGCTGCAGAAACATTTTATTTACAATTAAATTGAAAGATGTTAACAACAGAAGACTTGCCCATACTTGTCAACTTGTATGGATTGTCCGCAAATTATAAGGATTTTACGTCATTTTGCAGGTATACGGACGTATGGGCAATCTCACGGGTTTTTTCAAAACCTCATTTTCAAATTTATCTAACATGTCAGAGCCTGTAGGATAATTTAACAAACAATAAATAACATCAAACAGCCATCTTCTAACCTGTTCTGCCTCTAGAAATAAGTTCACTTTTTCCGCTCTCCTTTCCACCTGCTTCGAGCTACTTCTACTTTTGTTGGATCAGTACTTTGACTCGAGTAATGAAACTGAGTACTTTGGCCAACTCTGCTCAGTTTTAATGTTTACGTCCCATAAATGTGAAAGGTCTGTGACAGCAGAGCCCTCTGACATGGACATGAACAATAAGGCTAATAACAGCCTGTGTTGCCTGCAGGTTTGAGGTGAAAAAGTGAACACAGTCCTGATGGAAGTGACTGAACCCTGGGCAGCTGGCTGAAGTTACTCACCACCTTCTTTCTTATAATAGAGGCACATTTGAACCGTCTGTGGTTTTCCATTAACACATCTGTGTTCAAAGTAAAGGTAACGTGTGAAATCCTTCATGTCTGCAACAAAAACAGAAAGTTTTTGACAGCTTGACACTTTGTGGTCATTTTGATGTCAGAACTTCCCATCTTTTCATTACAGTGTGTAAAACACAACTTACTGTCTATACTTTCTTTTTCTTTTATTTGTTTCCTTGTTGTTATTGTCACCAAACTCTCTGGCTTTAGATCTACGTCTTGAAGCTCGTAAAACTCAAGGCAAGTTCCCGTCTTTAGTATTTCACCCAGCAACGTTTTGTCACACACTGAGAAGAAGAAAAAAACTTTTTTTTTWWAAATCCTTTGTGGTTTGCTTAAGGAAATAAACATGATCTGACACATAAAACAGAGCTCAGAGACCTACTTTTTAAATCTGCTGCAGATGCAGATGGCACTTGTATGATCGCCCGAGGTGACTCCCCCGCTGAGTTTCTGGCAGCGACAGTGATGTTGACGGGTGAGTAGGACACGTTAACCGTGTAACCGTCTGTGCTGGTTTTATGGCTCTTCTTCTTACACGGACATTTACGAGACCAAAGTGTGTCGTTCACAGTGTGGTGCACAYCTCTGACCGTTGCTGCATGTGGTGTCACCTAAAGACCAGAAGGCAGTTTAAGCTATTTATTATTCATGTACAACAGAACCAAAAAAAGAAACATTTCTGGGGTGGTCCGCGGGGTACATCTGGTCCGTAGGTGACYTCCGTCCGGTCCGCCAACACACACCGACACAAAACATCTTCCTATATAAGTTTTACTTAATTTTAAATAAAAACAGATTTAAAATCAATGGTAAATTTTAATTTATGATCCAATGCAACAACATAAATACATTTACAAGGTAAAAGATAATAATACCCAACCGGCCCAACGGCCCCTGAGCTGTTGGGTTTGAGCAACTGTGGCCCCCTGAGCGGAAAAGGGCTGGTATCGAGAATACAACCCTAATGTCAATAAAGTTGGCATGCAAATAAATAAGAATGTAGGGAATTGTTATCTTAAACCCATATATTATTCACAATGGAACATAGTAAACATTTTAAAACTTGTACCGTATTATAGAAAATTAAGCAATTGTGGTTTTAACAACAACACGCCTCTATTGGGACAGGATCATTTTTCCCTCCCTGTGAAGAATCTCATATTTGTGGTCCTTCATCCCTGGCCTCCAGGGCCACTTTTCTATCTGTTGTAGATGTTGTCTGTTTCAACACACGATGAGTCAAAGTGGCAGCATGGGTGTTAAAAGTTGTAGTTTGGGGCCTCCTCCTCTGTGCCAGGTTGGTTCTTTGATCTTGTCATAGCTAAAGCCTCACAGCTTCATAGCTAAAACACAATACTAGCACAGTGAGTCCTGCTCCAAATTTGCAAAGACCAAATCACATCAGGGCACATGGGCTCCACATCATGGATGTGTTACTATACTGCCATCAAGTTCCACCCCTGCACCCTGACAACGCCACCTCGACGACAAGGGTGTAACCTTATGTCTACCACTGGGAGGGGTTACGCTGTTTGCCTATTCATTACCTCTGCCAACGGCAAGGTAATGTTTTCGGTCGCTTATGTCTGTCTGTCGATCTGTCTGTCTGTTGTTGTGTCTGTGGACAACATTACTCAAAAACTTGTGGACGGATTGTCATAACATTTACAACACATGTGGATACTGGCACAAGTAACACACCTTTAAATTTTGGTGATGTTCTGGATCACGATGCGGATACAGGATTTTTTTTAATCCTATCAGATCAGCGAAGCTGTGATGCTTTCACATGGCTTCTGTAAAAAACTGTGACAACTTTCAGTGTTTGGACTTCAAACTTAATAAAAGTAATGTTAAAACCAGATGTAATGATGAATAATTCTTGCCATAATGTGCGCATTTTTACGCATATGGTGCACATTTAAAGAACGTTTTGTGACCACGAAGTGCGTGACTGCACCATGAAACCCATTTTTCCCATTTCCTCAAACACACCACATTGTCGCTCGGCTTGTACACAGATCGATGAAGATTGAGGAAGAGGAGTGACGCGGTGGACTTCAGACTCGGAGGTTGTTTGTTCATTTTTATTATTATTTAAATGAGGCCAGATCAAGTCGAGAGCTATTTGTGCGCCCCTCKATGCACCTCTCGYCAAACTTTGGGGAAAAAGAATGCACAGAGCGTGGTTGTGACCGCTGTGTGTGGTCCTCACAATGATAGGAAGACGCATGTGTGTCTGTCTGATTAGATGCGCGATGAAAACTCTGCTTTTTTGAAACACGTAGCACCGATGTGAAAGCTTTCAACAATAACGTCGGGTGACGAGTCTGACTTTTTCCCTTTTTTTCCCACATTAGTCTCCACCGGGAAGAAATCCCGTGCATACTGCCTGCTTAAATGTTCACTACGTCAGAACTTATTCGGCAATGTGTTTCCATCTCTGCTTTTGTGCATTAACTCTTACAGGATGGGGGAAATTGGACTTGGCGGAGGTTTGCACTCTCYGAGTGCTTCTAGTTTATTTATTGATTCATTTACCTTTGTAAAATGATACAGAATATTTTGGGTTTAAAATACAGTACATTGTAATGCTTTTACTGTGATTAACTTAACTTTCCTGCCTTTTTTGTATTTACTTTTTCTGTTCCACGTTAGTTCAACAATTAGGACAAAGCTCACTTTTTTCACCTCCATTTTTTTTCCAAGAGTAACAAATATTTCATATTTCTAGGATGTATTATATGGCATGCCAAAATTCTCAGTTTTTGGTGCATTATAATTTGGTTAGGAAAAAATACAACTCATGATTCAATAAATACAGCCATAATGTGTCAAGAGCAGACTAAACCCTACATGTTATTTTCAGCAATTATGCATAAACGTTCATATTTGATATTAAATTTCAAAATCAGGTCAAAGTTACATGAAGACAACAAGAAAGCTGCAGCTTAAGTTCTGTTGTGTTAGAACAAGTTATGTAATTTTATTGTGTGTATATGTGTGTGTGTGTGTGGGTGGGGGGTTATTGACTGGATCAAATTATTGTGGGGGGGTCATAATTCCCCTAAACCCCCACAAATTACACCAATGTTCTCCAATGATTAACCACCACAACCTCATTACAAATGTTATGTGCACATTCAAAACGGTGATTGTTTATTTTCCTCCCTAAAACACTACAAAAACCATCCGTCTGGCCTTTATTTTATTTTATTTTTTATGGTAAAGGGGGCTAAAGATCATGTTGTGAAAACTGCCACTCTTCAGAAAACCTCAGAACGTTCCTTTGTTTATTTGTGAATGTTACATGGAATTAATTATTTGTAAATTTGTTAGTACTTCTGAAAAGTCTTAACTCTCACTGAAGGTGTGAAAGTTTTTTTTCTTTGTTTACTTACCTTCCAAGTTAGCGTCACCTGCCGAGTGCCATTAATAAGTTTTGTTTTAATGGTGACTTCAGGTTTATTAAGTTCTGTAATAAAAACACAAAATTAATTTTAGTCTCTTTTTGCTAAATACAGTTTTTTAAATAACAAAAACAAATCGGTAAAGCTTCATTTGTTTAAAGTTTACTGTCCTCAGACATACATTTTTACTCATTTTAAAAATAGAATTTTACAATCTATGAGGCTGAAGAAAAAAACATTACATTTTTGAGATTTAAAAAGAAGTAGCATATATTCAGTGTTCAAATTAATCCTGACCCTAACATACAAGTTTCAGAGACGCGTCTCTTTCTGGGTATAAATTTATCACAAATATCTGCTTTTTGTGTGTTTGAGAAACATAAAAATCAGGAAAAACTGTTTTAAAGGGGCGGTATTATTTTCCAGGCACGTGCTTCAACCCTAWACCACAAACAAGTAATAATGTTACCTTCAGTTGTTATGAATGTAGATAAACTTTGTTTAAAAAAAACACAGAGGAGTCCTTGGGAAACTAGCAAGTTAGTAAAAATGAATAAACTGGGTAGACAAAACATTACTTTGTTATGGGCAGTTTAGGAGAGGAACAGGAAAAATGTTTAGTTTTATCGTTTTCAGGGGAATTTAAGTTTGGACAGACAGTTTTCTTTAAGGGACCATTTTAGTCTTTGGAAGGAGAGGTTGCCAAAGGTCAAAGGTCAATCACAGGGGATGTTACTCTACATGAAAAAGCTGTGGATATCAAAAATAAATTTGACTTAGTCTATCTGAATGCCTCGAAATTATCCTATGTCTCTTTAAGAACCTCCTACCATTTCCAACACTCCCAATTCAGCATACTTTTAAAAAAATGCTTTAGGGGAGGGGTGCTCCTTGTGGGAGGAGCTCGGCTGCAGAATGAGCTGCTGGGAGGAGCTTTGTACCAGCAACTGTTTAGACAGCTCCACATGGCTACCACAAGTGATTCAAGGATTTCTCAAGTATGCATGAATGAGTCAAAGCAACACTCTGGGTGTGTTTTTGATGAGGGGATGACATAACATGAAATAAATCCCAAAAAAGTAGATCTTGCATAATACCACCTCTTTAAATACAAACATGATGATGGGGTGTCTTTAGGTTGTAACACATTCCCACTCTGGACTTGTCACATATTGATGCTTGCTCCAGGTTCCCTCTGCATCTGGTTTTGACGTGTCGGGTAACCCCCTCACATCAGTTATTGACACACAGGGCTTTTTCGGGTTTGCGCCACATAGGGTCTTTGAGTTGGGGTCCGTGGTTAATATTAGGGATCAGGATTACTAGTTAATTTTAGGCAGCAAGGTCAGGGATAGGATGTATGTGGCTAATAGAAGTTAAATTTAGGGTTTGCGACACTTAGTTGTCATGCATTTTTCTACACTTTTAAAAAATATGACAACAGGTTCCTCATCAATAACTGACGCGAGGGGGCTACCCGACGTGTCATACCTAGAAGCAGAGGGAGCCTGGATCAAGCGTCAGTATGTGACGAGTTGGGTTTGCTTTAGGAGACATGAGTTTACCTGCAGGAACAATAATAACTGGAGACCAGCTGCTCCAWAGTGGGTTTTTGACCTTTGTAGACTGCTGTCTGATCTGTACCCRGTACGCCGACTGCTTCTGAAGATTTTCAACAATGATCTTATCTGTTCAAATGAAAAAAAAATTACAAACACCGTTTTCTCAAATGCAGGGTTGCCACCATTGCCCCATGTAGTTTTGCTAAATTTACCGTGCTGTGTATCAGATTTAATAATATAAACTTAGTAAAAAAACTTAAGGAAATTAGTGTTTAGTAGGTTATTTCTTTGTTGTAACAATGTTTCTTGGCAATAAATCATATACCATTGGAAAGCCTGTTAATTTTTCTTTTAAATGGTGCCACATTTGTAAGGAACATGCATTTGTGGGATGAGCATTAGAGCTGGGCACATGAAAAATTTGCCAAATCTTTTCTGCCAAACAACTTATTTTGCTGTTGTTGTTGACTCTTGTYTCGAGCATCTGGTACCTCCAGGTGCTGCCAATCAGATGCCCAGCACAAGATTTATTAAAAAGAAGCATTTTTACAACAAAGAAATCATCYACCAAACAAAATTTTCTTATATTTTGTGCTATATGAGAGTAACCGGGGTCAGGTGTGAAAAAAAAAATCTGATTTGTTTGTTTTAACAGAAACGTTAAACATAATAAAAATAAGTACTCACATGTCGAAGGATCACCTGAGGTATTTATTAATCTCTGTAAGAACAATGCAAGAATGATGTAAAAAAAATACAGATTTGGATTTAATGATAAATCAACAATAACTCACTTTTTCACATGATTCCATGAGGCGTCCATATTGTTGAAAGCAAACTTCTGCTAAAGCCGGATGTTTCTCTGCAGCCGGCCAGCTTAAGCTGAGGTTGTTTCCTGACCAGGACATCAAAATATTCTGTGGTGCATCATATTTGACTGTTAAGAAAAATGTTTTCAGTAAGTCATTTGTACTGTCAGGAAAAAAAATGAAATAATAATGCATTTTACTTTGCAAACTAAAGCAGAACAACAAAATAGAGGTAAAATACCCAAAGTCATCAAACGAACTTGACTTAAGTAATGCTAGAAGCTAAAAAAGATGTGCCTCCATATWAGAGTCATCAGTACCTGCGTGCTCCAGAACACCGGACCTCCTGGGTGACATGCAGCTCGAGTTTCCAGTGCGAGCTTCCACCCAGACCTCAGTAGTATATTTGACAGTCAGTCTTTCCTCAATGATCTCCGTCCGGTTCTCCTTTAGGTTCATAAATACTTCCTTACTGTCGTAAATGTCACTACAGAGAAAAACTTATATTGATAAATTTGGCAGGAAAAAAAACTAACTTAATGGCCTTCATTCTTTACAAACTCATGCAAAAACTCTGTTTCGGATGTGTATAATTGTTACTATGGAGTAAAACTTTTTACTGTAATTTTCATCGATTTTTCGTAGTTCGGTAAACAACGCTGCACATTTCAACATTTTTGATCTGGTTTCTGCTCAAACAAACAGCATAACAAAAATTCTTGCAGTACGCCTTGAAGTAAAATAAACTTGGAACTCTGCTTGTAACACTTGTGGCCTCAAAATATTTAAATTAAACTATTTTATCAAATTTTCTGGCATAGTTCATCATTTCATATGGTCACACTTGTTCTTAGTTTCTTCTGACTGAATATGAAATGTGTTCAACATATCAACAACAAACAGGTCTCGCTTGAATTCTTGGTTCCCCTTCAAAGCCGTGCACTTGATGTGATGTTTAAAGTCACCCCACCGTGCACGCTGACTACCAAGATGGCAAAGTTTTGCAATAGTTTGGCTTCACTGCCGTGCAGCAGGAGGAAGTGGTGATCTGCCACCCATCTCCACAGACCATAGAGAACTGTTACAAGTTTGTTTGGATGCTGTGTACTTGGTTGTTGTACAATGTATATTTACAAAGAAAAAAAAACCCTGAAACCTCAATGAACTGAGAAGACTTTTTGCACCTGCATCTCTGATCAGTACACTGAAAATAAAGGTCAAATGTCACGTCGCTCCTGCGGTCGAAGCTCCATTCGCAACTGTAAACAGACTCTTCCTCATTCCGTCTGAAGCACTGAGGACTGGAAGGAGCCTCACATGATGACCCTGAGAAGAAAGCAGATTCTACATTTGTTTCATTTATTACTTTTTTTTTTTTACTACAAACTACAGTAAACAGAACACTGGACTGACTAAAACTTGGACTGCTTGATGAGATGTTATTCTTGTTTTAACTATGGAAACARGGTTTTGATGATCAGCAGACTTATATTTAAATGGGAGAGTTGAACTAATTTAAAGGTTTATCAAATTCATGAGAGCAACACATTTCATAAAAGATTACAGGAGCTTTGCACAAATAGGCGGTGCTTTGTACAAGCAAGCATTGAGGCAGCTCCAATTAACTACCACAGGAGATTCAAGGATTTCTCAAACATGTACCAATGAGTCAAAGCAACACTCTGGGTATGCGTTTGATGAGGGATTGACATTATGACATGATATAAAGCTCAAGATGTTGAGNCGCCCAAGCTTTAGCCCACAGACTGAGACAAAGAAGAAAACTGCCCTGCAGTCAGGCAAAATTGGAAATTCTATTTGGAAATCACAGATCTGTACTAAACAAAAAAGGGAAAATCCAGCCTCTATGATGGTATGGGGCTGCATCAGAGCGTACAGGTTTCAGAGCAAAACATGCTCTCACGCAAATGATGTTTTTTGCAGGGAAGGCCTTGCTTATTTCAGCAAGACAATGCTAAACCAATGACCACTTCAGTTTCAGTTCAGAAAATATTTGATGCATCATGAAACAAATTATCCTGCAAATAAAACTCGGGAGTATTGAACAGATGACATTCCTTCCAAAAAACGTCAGCAGACGATCTCCTAAGATCCTTGTGTGTTTACAGGCTGTTGTTAAAGAAAAGAGTGGAAGCGTCACAGTAAATATGGATCTGAAACATTTTGGACTGATGCTGCCATTAAATCTAAAATGACCTTATTTAAATATTTAAATATACATATTAAATGTTAGATTTTCTATTACTTTTCGACTGTGAAGAATATATATTATTTGCATTCTGTTTTCTTTTACATTTTCACAATGTCCCAAATTTTTCTGAGTTGGGCTTGTAGTTTTTTAGTTCAGCTGAAAGACACAGGTTTGTTTTTATTAATTTTAAAAGAATCACTTTACATTTATTCTTAGAAAGTTGTTTATTTTTCAGTTGAATTCTGGTCCTTTGCTTTGCCGTGGCTGCAACAGAACAAGTGTCACCTGCTGAAACCACACAGAGCTGATAAGCTAACCAACGTTCTGCGGCTGCTAATTTAATTTGTCTGAACTGTCACTTTCACATGTCTGATTACTATCTTTTMTGAGTCTTTTCCTGCTGTTATTATAGTAAAAGAAAACATAAAATTCTCGAAGAAGAAAAAAAATAATTTAAGAAAATTTCATGACTTTTACCTTTGCTAATTGTTGCGAAGAGCATAAACAAACCAAATCCATGTAGTGATCTCAGGTGTTTAAAAGTTTCCATGAGGTGAAGCTGAAAGTCTAGACAGATGATAGTTTCTCTTTTTTTTTTTCAGCTCAGGAGAGTCCATGTGAGCAACCTGTCTTCATGTAACTCATTTGTCTTTCTCAGAAATGTCACAGTATCACATCTCAGCTTATATATGAGTTCAAGCAAAACCACAACTGCCAGGAGTAGGGGGGAGGTTTTGTCTTCGTCACACTCACCTCACAGCAGCAAATTTTCTCTCGGTGACTCTTTGATGTCATTTCTTTTGTTGTTACTTTATGTTAATTTCCCTACAACTGCTTACTTTTTGTCTTTGCGCTTCCCATCAAAGAATTTTTGGAGGAAATTCTGGGAAACAAACGCACACACCTACATGTCGTGTAATGTGTCAACAGAGAGACTCGTACACTCTGATGAGACTGAAAGAGGTGTGTGTGTGTGTGTGTGTGTGTGTGTGTGTGTGTGTGTGTGTGTGTGTGTGT